ACCACCAATCAATCTCATCGTTAGATCGATTATGTTGATCCAACGGTTATATTTATTTCCTTCTTTGTATGATCATGATTTCTCAAATTTAATACTTTATATTTATTTCTACCTTTGTATGGTTATGATTTTCCATATTTAATACTTTCACTTTAAATATGGGGAATCATAACCATACAAAGATGAAAATAAATAGAACCATTGGATCAACATAATCGATCTAATAGTGAGATTGATTGGTAGTAACATAGTAGTAACACAACTTGATTGTTACAATATCCTTCCCCTTATTAAATATAGGGAGAAGAAAGGAGGTTTTTAGAATGTTAAATCAGAACTGTTGGATTAACATAATCGATCTAACGATAAAATAAACTGGTAGTATATTGGTAGTAACAATATCCTATCTCTTTAGAAATTGAGAAAGGATACTTAGGGGGTGTATTAGATTAGAATTTTAAAAGACTTTTTTGAGATAAAAAATATTATAGATTTTAAAAAATTATTCAGAATTGGAGAGATTTTAAAGACTTTCTTAAAATGCTTTTTTTACAATCAAGATTTAATAAAATTGGATTTTAAAGCATTTTAATAGAATTTATAAGATTTGAAAGGACAATATGAATTTATAAGATTTTAAAAAACCATACAAATTTTTAACAAACATTCAAAATTGCAATGATATTAATAAAATAAAGTAAAACATAATATAATTTTCTCAATCAATAAAATTCATAATAAATTTTGTTTGAAATTTTTTGCAATTGATCTTGTAAACCTTGGAGTTTTTGTTCTACGTGATGAGAGTTTTCTAACCATAAATCGTATGCATGTTTTCATTGAGTATTCCAAGAAAATTTTGAATATGAATTTTTGGGTTTTATTACATGAAAGTTTAGAAAATTTCTCAAATTATTTTTAATCGATACATTGAAACCTTAAATTGCTTTGGGCCTTTTGAAAAATAAGTTTTTAGTGATCCATTGATACAAAAATTGTTTGAAATCGATTTCTATAGCGAAGGAATTTTGTTCATGAATGTATTGTTATGAAAGTTTAAATTTTTCTTTAAATCGATCTTGTTTTAATTGATGTAAAAAAAAAATTGGTTTAATTTTTTCCCACAATTTTATGTTGCTTTTAATACAAAAATTACACATTTTTGTACCAAGAAAAATAGTAATCAATAACTTAAAAAATCATTTTTATTAAAAACTCTCAAAATTTTCCCAAAAATCTACTATTTTTGAGATGGATTAGATTAAAATCTTGTTGGGTTGTTGTTTCTGGGTTGTTTTGTGATGAAAATCGCTTAAGAATATACTATTCTTAAGATTTGACGAAGCTCCTATGACGAAACCTGGTTTCAAGCGGGTCAACCCGCAAAAAGAAGAGGAAGACACTGCAATAGAGAAATCTCCAGAAATCTTGGGAGTTAAGATGAGATTGTGAGAGAGACATCCTATTTATATTTCTACCTAAAAAGGTTCACGAAATCCACACCAATAGAAAATCCATTAAAATCGTCATATTTTTGAATACCACAAGATTATTTTTCCTTTTGTTTAAAATCCTGATTAAATACAAACAAATGACTCGTTTTTTAACTGGTTAATAACATGCCAAGTCGCCCACTTTACCACCTCTAGTGCATATATAGCCAATCAATTGTGAGTTCTTTTAGGGCTTGTGGCTCTAAAGTATTCTTGAGACAAATTATCACATAAATGAATTACATGATAGCCTTTAATTACAGTACAACTGTACAATCAAGGCATTAGAATTTCAACCTACCTTCTATAAATTATTTAAATATCTCGCCAATATCACAAAAAAAGTTCTTAAGATAAAGTGATAATCGGAAGTCTTGGATTTATTGAAAAATAAAAGAAAAGCGATCGATTGGTTAAAAAAAAATGCAGGTTCTGATTTTTATTTTTATTTTTGTCAATAAGCAAAATGTACGCCATCTTAAATGAATTGAAAGCAATACAATAATAAAGTTCTTGTACTCCAACGAGATGTAATGGAAGCCAATCCCAGTGGACACGGTTGTAACTTGTCACATTCGTTGAAGCACCAAAGTCTGCAACTTTATGTGTACCAATATTACAAATGGTCAGCTTTTTTATCAAGTAAATGATGAATTTGACATCAACAAAGACTGCCCGTAAACTAAATTGAAGATAATTTACTTCCAAATGGTTTGTGGGAATTTTTAAGAGAAATATATATAATATAAAATTATTATTATAGCCTTCAGCTAACCGTTTATGTATTTGGGTTGAAATATCAAAGTTTCTGTAATCAAGTGATTACAAGTTCGATCGTTACCATCTTCATTTTATTAGTAAATAATTAAATATTGTGAAGTTTCTTAACTTATGTAAATGAGTCTATACATTATATGTCTTTCAAGTCGAATAAGCTCTTGTGTGCGGAATCGTATTAGAAAAATATAATATAAAATATTAATATGACTTTCACGTTAAACTTTTGAATCGAAATGGTTATTTCTAATACAATAACCTTATTTACTAATTGATGAGTGGCATAGACAATATGTTTTTAGTATCAAAGATATATTAAATAAAGAGAAATATGATTAAGAACATAGTGTAAATTAATTAAATGCTAAAGAAGTGAGGTTTTAATATTTGGATATGATTATGATTTCTTTTTATATTGTTTTCAGGTTTAAATTGTTGAATTAAAGTTTTGATGGATCAAAGAAGTTGAAGAAGTCAAGAATCAAGTCAAGACTCAAGAAAGATCAAGAAGAAGAAAAATTACAAGCCTGGTCCAAATTAAAAGCCCATGGACTTTCACTTATAAAAGACACACTTTAGGGTTTTCTATTCATTGTTGGACGATAGAGCTCATGATGGTTGTGGCATAGGAGAGGGAAAAGCTTCGTTTCAAACCTGAGAAACGAATGAACGTCAAAGCTTCACCATAGAGATCGAGTTTTATGTTTCTTTTACGAATTCAAATTTCTTTTCATCTCTTTCTTTAGTTTTCTTTACTATTTCACGCTAAATTTTTATGTAGTTAGGGCGAGACGGTATCAATGGGTTCCTGAACGCTGTTTAATCTATCTTGTAATTAATGTTCATGTTTCAATTATGCAATTAATCTGTTTTAAATTTCTAGTCTTGTTTATGATCTGACCAATCTTGAATGGGCATTAGAATCTTGCATGTCAATAGGAATATTGTTTTTTTGATTCTGTTTGGTTAATTGTTAGGGTTTGTATGTTCTAGGAATAGGCTTACAAATTCTACGAATTATGATTTTGATCTCAATGCTTGCTCTAAAAAAAGGCTATAAAGGATTAGGGCCTTGGAATAAAGTAAAGAACTAAAATCACTAAGGGATTGGGGGTTTAGTTAGTTTAGAAAGAATTGTCGATAATTGATCTTGAATGTTGATTGCATGAAAGGTTAGACTTGTTAGGAAACTATTGGGGAAGTCGAATTCCTAGCTAAGCTCGTTATCAACTAATGTTAAATAGTTTTCTTTGCGTTCTTCGTTCTTGAATATTGTTCTTGGTTCTTACTATTGAAAACTAAAAATATTTTCTTTAAAATTCAATTTTTATCAATTCAAAATTATATTCTCCAAAACTTATAAGATCGATCCAACCTTAAATATATAAATAAGTTATTGCTTGATAAACCAATCCTCGTGAAAACAACAATCCTACTCTTTACCATTTTATTATATACGACCGGTGCACTTGCTGAAGTTGCAACCTAAGGTATTCAAACTCTGTTATAACTCTCAAAATAAAGACCAATTATCAGTTATGCCTAACATAAGAAGCTAGTGATAGAGATCGTACTGGAGGAAATGTCTTGTGAACGGCCAGATGTAATGATTGTTTTTTTTAGAACATCAACAAAATTAAGCTGATAGATGTCTCCTATAGCTATTTGTAGAGGAATCGATAATCTCAATAAGAACATTTTCTTATGAAGCAATTGTATATTACTGACCTCAGTTCAAGGCCTTTAAGTGGTCAGAAGAAATCATGCTAAGAAGCTTATTAGTGATTTGTTTTTCCTTTTTCCTTTATTAAGCTCTTGTTGGAGGAGATGGATTGGTAGCAAAGCAAAGGAAAAAAAGGACACATTTTCGTTTTTCAAAATCAAGAAAGAATTGCGTGTCAGGAACTATAAATGGCTTTTTGAACGAGACATTACTTTAACTGTGTCAAAAATTAAAAGCATATATAACTTTCAAGACACATACGCATCTTTCGCACCAACAATACCTTGTGAAAATCTTTCAGAAACCTTATTCAGACTGCGTGTAAGAGTACAGAGACCGAAGGAAAGTGTATTAAATAGTACTTGCTGCATAAAATCACAAGGAAACTGAACCATTAGATGCAGTCAGCGACACTGCAACATGATTCCATAACAATACCGTTAGTTTTTAACTGTGAGTCTGCTACTCTTTCGTGTTATATACAAACAAGCAAAATGCATGGAATTGTTAGTCTTAGACACATCCTACTGGAGTAGCCTGGTTTCTGATAGAGTTACACTAGCTATATACCTGCTGTGGCCCTTGAATTTCCCGTTGTATTGCTCCATTTTATTTTATCAAACTTCTTTCTTCTATCTTAAAAATATCTCAGATTTCAATAATAGATATTCTGCCATGCTTACAGTACAAAAACGAACAAAGTAAACCATAAAGAAAGCAACAGTCATCAATATAGTAGCCTATATATGTAACCTGAAACTCAGCTTCCTTTACCTCCTAAAGAAAAAGTGGCAGTGGCACATCCTGACGTTGTAAAAAGTGTCACTTCAAATTGTTACAGCAAGCATGACCAATTCCCCTACTCACCCCTAGCCCCTCTCTCTTAGTGTGCAAATTGGCGCATTTGTTTCACTCATAATCAGATATTAATTCACAATGGTGAATTCATTACACTCATCAATCATATAGAACCAATGATGGCTTAGATCAGAGTTTTCATTCAAATTTCAAAGCCTTAACGACAGGTCAAGCTGGCTAATATCATCCTGAACATTTTCAGAAGGATAACCTCTGGACCAGGAAGCCACACCTTCCTTGGAACCATAACTAAACTCTCTTTGTCCAACAAGCTTCTCACCTTGTCCTTGGTCATCAAGGACCCCAAGAGCACGACCAAGATGGTGAGAAGCACTGAAGTTTGATCGCTGATCTTGTCCTCCATAAGATTGCATGGCTGAACTCAACTCCCTGCTCTTCTTGGCCAGTGTCCTTTCCAGCTTGTGAGCATTTTGATGGCCTCCAAGCGCTTGAGAGCTGTAAAACTTTCTCTGGCAATAGTTGCATGAGAATATGCGAGGCTGAGGCTCCGTGGAACTAATAGGTGAAGATGAAGGAGATGATGATGGCTCAAGGTGAAGATCTAGATTGAGTTGATTCTCATGATCTGGTTGGGTTAGGTGAAGAGAAGTATTAGGATGGAAATTCATGGCTATCTAGAGATAGAGAGAAATGGGGGAAGGACGATATACAAAACTAGTGGTAGTGGTTCAAAGTGTACGATGGAGTAGTAGTGTGGAAGAGAAAGCAATAGAGAGAGAGAAGGATATAGGGTGCGAAGTGGGGGTGAGAGGACCTTTAAGCAACATAAGAGGCTCAAAGGTTCACTGTTCCCGAAGACACAAATAGTAGTATATTGAGTGAACAAGAGACGGTATTGAGTGAGCTAGAGGGACATATATCTGCAAGATAAGTGGAGAATCAAAGAGGTTGTCGCCTTCATTAATGGCAGAGTTAGGATCCTTTGTCGGTCGATGTTCAAAAAAATAAATAATGCTCTGGGTACCCCGTATGAAACCCACTATGAAGATTAATCAGGTTTTATTATTTTGTATTTTAATTTGGTTTTTGTCTTTGAAAATGTGTGAATGTTTGCAAAATAAGCATATAATCACAAGTTCTAACCCGCATTGTTGTTACCCTTATCAACAAGGAGTTGAAACTCACATCATGCAGTGTTCCATCAAACTTCTAATTATGGAATTACAAAATGGGCAAGATAAGCCACCTTGACTAGACTAAATAATGAACATGATAGGAGACCATTTTTACATTTTGTCTTAAATCAAAGAGTGTTCTCTATGCATATATTCCACTATCTGTCCATAGAAGATTGGACAATGATCCCCGTTTTAACAAAATCGGCGGCTTAAATTAATTAATATTGAAGCAATGTGCTCATAGACCTCTTATGAATTACGACTCTATATGTATGATGGTCAAGTAGCATATAAGCCATGTACATCTGTCTCTGCCCATGTATGTACATGTACATATAAGTACAAAGTCTAATCATTTTGGTTCTATTCACTCAATAATGGCATACGGCATACCTACCAATAATCCTTAATTTCCCTTGATTTTAACTGGATTTATATAATGTGCATTTCCATTTAAAACCAACACAAACCATGCAATGACTTGCCAATTAGCTGACCCTAATAAAAAAAGGCAGGGTGACTTATATACAATCCTGAAATGTTGATGAAGTGAATTTCTCTCTAGTAGTCTGTGACGCTGCAGCACTACTAGTTACAGTTACAGACCTGACTATACTGAATCTGTATTGATGACTTTACCTTCAATTTCATCAACTATAGTCAGAGCCAGAATGGTGAAACAGGTTGTTCTAGCTCTGTACTCTGGCTTTGTCATGATACCATTATTAATTAGGACCAGACCAAACTTACTCTTCTATATATCTTGCTTTCTCTCTCCTTCCCTCCCTCTCTTATTTAGTGATTTTACAAATTTTGTTGACTGGACCAAGCACATGGGACATGGAATTATAAAATTGTATATTAACAGACAAATTAAATTCGAACCATCCTCCCACACAGGTATTCGTTATAGCATATAATCCCCTTCACTGAATATAGGCTTCAATAACTTAATAGTAAACCATGATTGAGGGATCATAATCTTGTCATCGGCTACGATTGCGGTGAGCCTTGTCTGTAAATCACAGACACAAATTGAACCAATAAACTAAGTCCTGTTGCCGTATGGTCAGTCACTTAGTCTTAAGATTCCAAAGCTAAGGAAACATTAATTCTTGTGCTAAAATATATAATATCCACTCAGTTATGGGATGTTTCCCTTTGTACTTGAACAAACCTACATTAATGATAACTGGGTTCCATGTATATGTAGGCTAATGTTAATTAAACAAGAAGAAAATTAAATTTTAAGGGCTTGTCTCGTAGACATGTAACAAAACTGCACTAATCTCTGCAACTTCAGTTCTTTAATTTAACATTATACCATAATCATGATATGAAATATGATGCACTCAAAAGGAGCTAATCCCTGAATGAGTCTAAACTTAGATTAGTTGTTTGAAAATGGGCCTTATTAGTATTTTTCACGTTTCGGGCTTGTTTTGATGATATTTTAGGATTATTTTTTATGGAAAAAGTCTTTATCATTTTAAATGACACTATTTGTGTCATTTTAAGTGAAATTATTATGTTTTAGTGATTTTTTACTTTCTATCTCATTCACAATACTCTCCTTTTCTCTCTCATCCTGATTTTGTGGATAAAATAAAATGTAAAAAACTACCAAAAGCTTAACTTAAAATGACATAAAATAGTATCTTTGACAAATATTTTTCCCTAATTTTATTTAAAGTAGCAATTTTGTAATTTTGCACTTTTCATCTTAATTGCTTTTAAAATTGTTTGAAACCGATTTTGGAGGCTAAATTTCTAAACATTATTTATGTTTTTCGAGAATTAAGGTTTTCCAATCCCAATTCATATCTTTAGCCTATTTTTAGGTTCGTTTTTTCTGCTGTTACTGCAAATAACTTATCTGCAATAAGTTTAATTTGACATCGTTTCGGGACAAAAATCATAGTATTTTTGTAATTTTAATTTATTTCAGAGTTATTATAGTCTTTATAATTATAATTTTTTAATCTTTCAACTCCAAAACGACGTCATTTTGGAAGTAATTGCAGATAACTTATCTGCATTAACTACAGAAATATTTTCCTGATTTTTGAAAGTTACTCTCATTTCTGCTGTTGCTGCATATGGAAAAAGTTGCAGCAAATATATTTACACTAGAATACGGAGTCGGATCCGGATCCGTATCCTGGTGAAAATAAGTGTTGCTACAAATTTTCTCATCTCCAAGCAACACAACTATTAAAGCCATTTTTGAATTGCAAAACTAATAAAGTGACATAGTGAACTAATGTCTCAAATAATGGTGTAGTATTTTTTTTGTAAATTTATATTTGATTAATTTTACATTTAAAATAAGAAAGATTGGGAAAAAAAATCTTTAAAATGAGTTAACCTTTAAAATAAGTAAATAAGAATTATTTGTTCTTAAATTTAAATAGGATATTATCACAATATGCTTAAAATTGAAATAATTTATATCAAATATATTCCTCCTAAAAGAAACACAGTTGATTTGAACTGGTTGATCTAAAATGATGGTTTGATCATTTTACGAGAAAGTCTACCGAATTTTTGGTAGCCCCATTCTAAGCTTCTAAAGTGACTTTTACCTATTTTTTATTGTTATGCTTGCCAAGTTAGTTAAGTGTTGAGTAAGTTTAACCTATCACGGCCTAAGGTCGAGTTGTGAGTTGTGACAGTACTGTGTTGATTGGATTGCCACCTGAAGCCTTTTCAAGGAACTGAAATATAATGCTATGGATTTTCTTTGTATTGAGCTACAGGCTCACTTGCATGCCAATTTTTGTTGGGACAACCATAGGTTGCATTCCAACCATTTGTTTGGGTTTCGGCCCATTTGTTTCATTAAAAAAAGTTGTCCTTTTCTCTAATATCAAGACCGTGTGCTCAATATAGTAAAAGGAATTATATTATTCTCGACATAATATTTAAAATTTGTACCCTACAAAAATATTAAAAAGATTTCTGACTTTAGTACATTTAGGCATTATATACCCCATAAAAAAATCACAAGAAAAGTCTATAGACAAAATGCAAAATGACCACAAAAATAATTTATGGACACGTTGCCAAGCCAAAAAATAAAATACTGGGATCCAGGCTTCTATTTCACCATTGGGTTTTTTAAAAAAATAAAAAAAATAAATCTGCAGTATCAATTTTATTTTATTTTTAATTTAAAAACTATTTCTAAGCATCAGAGTGTATAATGTAATTTCTTGATTGATAGGAAGAGTAAAGTGGGTGTAAAGGTGTTTGATACGAGGTGTTGATACCATCCCTAAAAAGAAAGTGTTTTAATTTTCATATGGGTATGCTGTCAACACGATGCCTTTGGTGCTGGACACCGAAAACATAGGTGTCGGACGCATTTTAGCTTTAATGAGGACATTGTTGTAATGGTTTGTCACTTTTACCGTTGTGGTTGCAGATCGAAAATTTTATATTAAATATATTTATATCAAGGAAGCTCGGACACTTTAAAAAATAGTGACTGTCGTGTCCGACACGCGTCAACATTTTCGACACGTTGACCATTTCGACACGCGAATTTGACTGTGTCCGACACGTCCCGACACGCTCCGACACAGTTAAATGGCATTTTCGTAAAAAAATTATATTTTTTAAAAAAGAATAAAAAAATTATTTTTTTAAAAATTGAAATATATTAATAAAGCTTCCATCTGATCATATCAATTTTATTTTCTTTTTTCTTCTTTTCCCTTAAGTAGATAGGAGATCATCTCAGCATCATTGATATTATCTCCTTCTCTCTAATTTGATTTGATCTTTCTATCTGATATTATCTCTCTCTCATCCCAGTTCCTGTTTTTTATTAAAGCTTCCACCTTTATAACGTGTTTATAGGTATTATTAATTTAGTTTCATTTTTTTATTAAATTATTGAATATTAAATAAAATATACGCTATATAAATTAAAAATACTATTTAATATTAAAACGTGTTTCAACGTGTAGAAATCCATATTTGTTTAGGATTGATATGTCGGAGTGTTGTGTCGTGTCATGTCACGTGTCGCGTATTGTATCGGTGCTACATAAATTTTACTAGGATTTATGCTAATCCTGACATTTTTTTAAAATAAAATAAAATTAAGGATCCACATGTATATTCTAACTTTTTATGGATTATTACAAAAAAATTCTTTTACAACAAATTATTGTTTGATTTTAAAATATTAAATCTGAAAAATGTATTTAAAGTACTTTTAATTTCTACAAGCTAAGAGAATAATGACATTAAGTATATTAGACACAACAATCAATCCAAAAACATTAAATGTATAAGTGCTTCCATTTATATAATGTTCACATAGTGCATTCTTAATTAATATGAGATTTCAATCATTCACATTTAGATTCTCAACATAAAATAATTTTTTTTAAGGGAGAGATGGAAACAATTAGCCCGTTTGATTGTGTTCTAATTTTTTTGTTCTTAAGACTATTTTATAGAATAGTTATGAAAAAGTT